ATTGACTTGGCAAATGCCTTCTTCAGTGTTCCGCTGACCCCTCCTGCATGTATCTCTTCGCCTTTACCCATGCTGGCCGACAGTATACCTGGAGAGTAGTTATGCCCCAAGGGGCCCAAAATTCGCCAAGCCAGTTTACAAAGGCCATGACAACTATCCTCAGCACCTGGCAACAGTCACACCCGGAAGTCATAGTGCTCCAATATGTGGATGACTTGCTCCTATGTGCCACCAACCATTCTGAGGGAAAAATCGCCTCTCTGAGCCTCCTCCACCACCTGGCTGAACAGGCTGCAAGGTTTCTAAGGACAAGTTACAGTGGTGCCAAACTTCTGTCATTTTCTTGGGACATTGCATTTCCCAAGCCACTCGTCACCTCACGCCGGATAGAGTACGGGCTATCCAGAATGTCCCAATACCTCAGGGACCAAAAACCCTACATGCTTTTCTAGGGTTGGTTTCCTATTGTCGTTCCTGGATCCCAGAAGCCTCCATCTTGATGCAATCCCTTTATGATGCCCTGAAATCTGAACCCTTTTCCCTGACAGAAGAAGCTGTACTTGATTTCCATCGCCTGAAAAAAGCCATCTCCACTGCACCTGCATTAGGTCTACCAGATTATGATGAGCCCTTCAAACTTTTTGTGGCTGAGAGACAGGGTCATGCAACAGGAGTTCTGGCACAACGCCATGGGGGTCGCCTCCGGCCTCTGGGTTATTACTCCTACAGGCTAGACCCGGTTGCACAAAGTGGTCCCTCCTGTCTGAGGGCTGTTTTTGCTGCTCATCTTCTTCTGGATAAAACGGCAGATTTGGTCTTAGGACATCCACTCACACTTCTGGCCCCCCATGACATTACCGCAATACTGAACCAAACCCAACCAAAAACATCTATCTGCCGCCAGGCATCTGCGACTGCAAGGCTCCCTTCTTTTACCTGATCATGTTACCCTGGAAAGATGCACCCAGATAAACCCTGCAACTCTTCTCCCTCTTCCAGGGGGGGGGTAGACAAAGCAGAAGAAGACAACAAAGACATGGCACCAGAGGATGTGGTACATGACTGTTTGGGACTTATGCAGGCAGAAACTACACACCTACCAACAGTCCATGATACGCCCCTATCAAATCCTGACCTAATACTCTTTGTGGATGGATCCCGCTTTGCAGATAATGCTGGCACCTACCACACTGGATATGCTGTGACTACCGACACAATGGTACTGCAAGCTAGACCTCTTCCACCTTTTATGTCTGCACAAGAGGCTGAACTAAGGGCCCTCACCAAAGCCTGTGAATTAACAAAAGGACAGACAGCTAACATTTACACGGACTCCAGATATGCACTGGGGGTTGCACTTGATTTTGGCCTAATCTGGAAAATGAGGGGCTTTCTCACGGCAGCTGGGACTCCTGTAAAGCATGGAAAGGCGATCAAACCGCCTTATGGAAGCACTCTTACTACCAGCCCAAGTGGCCATATTGAAGGTGAAGGCCCACGGTAAATTGACCACTATGGAAGCAAAAGGAAATCATCTGGCAGACATGGCTGCTAAGCAAGCTGCGGTCAGGGAGCAGGAAGAGGATGAAGAGATGTGCAGTGAGGTGATGTCTGTGTTAATTCACCAGCCCAAGGACAACCAACTCCAAGAAGCCCAGGATAATGCTTCAGAAGAAGAAAGGAAGGAATGGATGCAGAAAGGAGCAGTTGAGGACAAAGGATTGTGGGTGGTGGGAAGAAGGTTTTGCTTCCCAGATCCTTATATCCGGCAACAGTGCAGTGGGCACATGGAGCGTCACACCTGTCCAAGATGCTAATGAACTCTTTGATCAGTAAATACTATGTGGCACCCGGAATTACGGCTTACACAGACAGATTCTGTAAGTCTTGTGTTGTATGTGCCAAGTGCAATCCTGGAAGACCTGAGAAACCTCCAAGCAAACATCTGGCCAGGGCACTATATCCATTTCAGGGGATCCAGATAGATCATATCCAGATGCCAAAAAGTGGATGATTTGAATATGCCCTAGTGGTGGTGGATATGTTCTCAGGATGGCCAGAGGCGTTTGCAGTAACCAACCAGACGGCAAGAACCACTGCCAAGAAGCTGCTCACGGAGATAGTTTGCAGATATGGAGTGCCCGAGGTGGTTGAAAGCGATCAGGGACCGGCTTTTACTGCCAATGTCACAAAAGAGATCTGGGAGGCTCTGGGGGTCACACATGCGTTTCACACACCCTATCATCCCCAGAGTAGTGGGAAGGTAGAGCGCCTAAATGGGGTCCTGAAGTCAAGAATGTTAAAAATAGCCCAAGAGGTAGGCATGAGATGGCCGGACAGCTTGCCTATTGCTCTTTTCAGTGTTAGATACACACCAAGGGAAAGTCATGGGTTGTTTCCTTATGAGATTTTGTTTGGGTACGCCCCTAGACTGGGTACCTACTATCCTCAACAATTACAATTGCAGTCTGACTCATTGACAAAGTATGTGATATCTTTGACACGTGTGTTGACTAATATCCATGTGCAAGTATTCTCCTCCATTCCAGATCCTGAGGCGGACATAAGAACACACACTTTACAACCTGGAGACTGGGTCTTGGTCAAAAAGTTTCTGCGAAAACATACATTGGAACCCAGATATGACGGTCCTTTCCAGGTGCTCCTGGTGACTGCCACTTCAGTGAAGTTGGAGGAAAAGTCCACCTGGATACACGCCTCACATTGCAAGAAGGTTCCAGCTCCAGAGGACGAGGCCCTGTCCGTGTCACCCACACCACAATGATTGTGTTGCATATCCTTTTTTGGTGGAAATGGGAGGGGGCCAACAGGTGGCCATCACTCACAAGGGTGACTCCACCCAGGTTTGGTATAATTCATCCAACACACAAGTAGCAACATTTTTCTTCAATCATAGCCTGTGCAAGAACACACCTGTCCCCATTGCCTCCACAATATATATATGTGTTACAGATAATTATATGGGGAGCAGATTGTGGCTACTGGGGATCAGTGGGATGGAACACGAGACCGGTTTGGGGGTATAAGCCACAAAGTGCAGTAGAGCGGAAAGACCGGTATGGAAAATCTCTAATTTCCCGAATGACACTCACTTACCACCCCTAAGGTAGATAGGTGATCCACAAAAATGAACAAGCAATTCACTGTAGCCATCCCCCTTACTCTGACCATAGAGAGTCCGGGAGATCAGGGAACTTACCTTCTAGGGGTGTTATACCCCAGAGGTGGCACAATTCACCATTGTGAGTTCCAACTGAAAGATATATACCTTTCAAAAGAGTGGTTGGCCCCCCTTAATCATTCTCTCCCTTCTCCCAATCCCCACGCCTCCATGCCATAGCACATCCTCTCAGATCCATTACTTAAGGTGCCTCCCAACCCCCCCATGTAACCAAGCACAAACGAAGTGCCCCGCAAGGGAGTTTTGACCCCCATGTCTATATAGATGCGATAGGAGTCCCAAGGGGGGTACCCAATGAATTGAATTCAAGGCCAGAGACCAGGTGGCCACAGGATTTGAATCCCTATTCCTCTTCATCACTGAGAACAAGAATGTAGATTGGATAAACTACATCTACTATAATCAACAACGGTTTGTAAACTACACACGAGATGCCCTAAAGGGGATAGCAGAGCAGTTGGAGGCTACTTCTAACATGGTCTTTCAAAATCGTATGACACTCGATATGTTATTAGCTGAAAAAGGGGGGGGTCTGTACAATGATACCAAAGACCATGACCTGCTGTACGTATATCCCAGATAACACAGGCCCAAATGGGAAGGTGACACTGGCCATCAAGAGGTTGGAGGACATGTCAAATGAACTTAAGGAAAACTCTGGTATTACACATCCCTGGGATCAGTGGTTTGGATGGCTGAGTGGCTGGCAGAAAGCCCTCGCCCAAGCATGGGTGGTTATCCTGGGTATTATCATTCCAATGGCAATAGTCGCCTGCTGTGTGATCCCTTGCATTAAGAGGCTAATAGGGAAAGCTGTGAATGAGATCTCCCCTACATTCCTGAACTATAACAATGTTGAACTCCCCCGTGAAGAAAGGGAATCCTATACTCCCTTACAGACCGTGGCCCCTGACCATCGTATTTCAGATTTATAAAAAAAAAAAAAAGGGGGAATGCTACAACTTTCCCCCCCCAACAGACAACTATAAGCAGGGAAAGACAGTGCCTGACTGTGGCCTTCTCAGAACGTATCGAGACTCTAGGGATGGATTTGCCACTCAGGGGCTCTATATGCGTCTTAAAAAAAGTTCCAAGGGGAGGGCCACCAGGCAGTTAGGAAATCAGAAGACATAGGGACAGTCAGGAATAAAATAGCCATTTTAAGGGGGGATTGTAGTGGATTGTGATAGACAGTCCACGTTCTATTAGATGATCAGTAAAATGACAATTTTTATAGTCTTGCTACTGTCTGTTTCTTGCTCTTTAAATTCCTTACTCTCTTAAGTAAACAATCAGATATAGGTTGACAGAACAATGATGATAATTAAGATGGCGCCTTCATCCGGAGTCTCACCCTTGGTGACTCATTAGGAGAAAAGTATCTTTTAATGTAAACAACCCCCATAAAAGGGAATGAGTCTCTTTGGGACAATGATTGGAAGATATCAACATGGATGGACGAACACGCAGAAACCCAGTGGACTTTTCACCCAATCAATGTATATGCTTTGCCTGCATCATAAGCCCTATAAAAATGATACTGTTAGTTCCTCAATAAAACAGAATTTTAGGAAGTTGGCAAACTGCGAAGTGTCAGTGTCTTACTTCCACGTGCACGTATTCTCATATTAATTTGGCTCACTGGTAGATCACGGTAAATGGTCTGTAAGTGACCTAGTCCAGGACACAGCGGTCCTCAGGATTTCCCCACTAGGAGGTTAGCAAGCTTGGTTCCAATAGAAGGTATAGCAGACAGGGATCAATTAGAAGCATAGACGAGGAACAATTGAAAGGTTGGTGTCAGGTTCCGCCCAACGGGATCTCTAGTGGTACACAGAACAGGATTCCCCAGGACGCGGAGTCTAAGTCCCAGTCTGCCTTTTCACCAGAGCCCCTGATGGTGGGGATGGACTTGGTGCAAGACTGGAACCAGGTCACGACCCCTGGGTGCACCCAACTATGGTAGAGGGGTCCCGCTGAGGGTATGTGCCTGGGATGAGCCTGCTGTAAAGGGGCTGACAGGTCCAGGTCCAAGAGGGATGGATGGATGACTGCCAGGAGTGAGCGTGGTCAGACTAGCCGGGTCGGTAACAGTGGGGACAGGTGCGGTACCAAGCAGCAGACAAAGAGTAGTCAGGTCACACGCCGGGTTCAGTAACAGAGGGTCCAAATAATAGTAGCGACAGGCAGGAAGAATGGTCAGGGACGAGCCGGGGGGTCAGAGCAGGAGAAGGTCAGCATAGATCAGAACAGGCAGGGTCGGCAACAAGGAATGCACTTACAGGAACAAGACCTTGCGGCAATGAGGACATTGCCTGGCCAGTTTAAATAGCGCGCCCTGCACCGTCATTGGTACCAGGCACGCGCCCATGCGCGCGGCGCGGATGCCCAGGTCCTAATGCCCGCATGTTGATGTGCCTGGGCGATCCGCGCATGCGCAGATTCGCGCGCCGCGGTGAAGACCGGGATCCCTGACAGTTGGTAAAGAATGGTAGTGGAAATCAGCTGACAGCAGGACTGACAAAAGTGAGATATTGGCTGGAGAAAGCACAATAATCTGACAAACAGAAGTGCAGAGACATGGTTTAAATTTGGAAGTTCATGGGAGCAAAGAGTTCAAGCTTAACCAAAAACAAGAGACAAGGCAAGAATGTTGAAGCAATCAGACAGGGAGTAGTCCAGCATCTCAGGTGGATCAGCAGCAAGAAGACACATTGTCAGACACAGCAAAGGTCGTAGGTTCAGACCCAGATCCTAACACGCTTACATCCAAAGCCCTGTGAAGTACAGCCTCTGCCTTCTGGTCTATTTAGTCCTTCAAGACCCCTGCGCCTTGAAAGGATAAATCTGCATTTTTGTGCAAGGAGTGCATTAATTCTAGGATGCTTAAAAAACATGTTCTCTTCCTAACCAATGGAAAAACACCTTTACCATGAGTGCAGATTAATGATTTTCTTTTCTTTGCTCCTGCAGGCCTCTGTAAATCCTGCCTAAACTGTGCTAGATTCTGTCCTGTCTAGACTGTGCTAGACTTGATTAACCAGAAGGTTAATCAAGAATCTGTTCTGTGGCATAGATCACCTCCAACAGTTCCTCTATGTGCTCCAAAGAAATAAAGATGTCTGCCAGATCTACTTGCTTCTTCGTGCTCAATCTTTCCTTCCTCCCTGGAACCACTATCTGAGGAAGATACCCTCCCTCATATTCCTCCAATCCTGTGCCAAGAGAATGGATAACATTGGCTGGACTGGCCTGACACACTGAAGCCAGTTCCACAATCTTAGAAATATAAAAGAAAGAAAGTAATCTAACACAGACCAACAACTCGGAAAGGTTGAAACTGTTTCAGATTTCATGGAAGAAGAGAAATCTTTTATCAGTAGTCTCTACCCTATAAGTTTACTGCAGGTACTGCAAAAAGGTTTAGGGTTTGAGGTGAGCATATTACTGCCACAATTTCTACAATTCTATTTGGAGGGCGGACACTGACTGAAGCAGCCTTAGCTATGGTAGAGGATTTATGCAAGGAATGATCAGACCTTGTGGGTTTCTAAAAATAAGGAAACATAAGCATGGCCCAGACTCACAGCAACAAACTGTAATCTGGTCATCCCCATGACGACAAGAGAATACATTACTCACTGGACTCTGATTTGCTCCTGGAAGTGAATTAGATCTCCACTACCTCCCCACTCTCCCAATTATGGCACCCACCCAGAAGGGACAAGAAGCTCCACTATACCGAACCCAGAAATGATGGCACCATCAGATACAGATCACCCCTGGAAATTAAGCCAGATCTGGAAACTGCCCAATCTCCCCTTCCAAGCAGAGGAGAAGCCCCAGAAATCGCTGCCATGAACATGCAACACCACCAACCCAAACAGCCACCATTACCCTAACCATAACCCTAACCCTAACCATGAAACAGAGGGGGTGGGAGAAGTAAACCTTGAAAAAACACTGCCACCATAACGTTGAGCCAATATAAAAGATTGATTGGCAAACAAAGGTGAGCACTGGGGGATTCAAGGGATGCACCAACAGCCAAATGGTACAGAAAAACAGCAAGCCTTTTGGTGTACTCATGGGTGCAAATAAACACAAAATAAACTGAGGAATGAGGGTGTGGGAGGGGCTTTTTAATCTGTTGGCTTTTGTTTCCTGTAGAGGGAAGAACCTATCATCTCTCATGTCTGGAAGATGATTGGGGAAAAAAGTCTCTAGCTTTTTCTGTGGAGGATTTCTAAAACAAAATAATCATTTACTTCCAGGACTACTTCACAAGTTTGGTCTATTTGCACTTTTGGAATGCTGGCAAAAACATCACTTTCCCCCATTTAGAGAAAAGTACCAGATGATCTTGACAAATGAACATACGCAGGGGCGCTGGTACTTGTTTTTCCTAATTACATTGTTGCTCCTACCCTGCTAACTTTGCACCTGTCTGCTATCTAACCCCCACTTGCATGTGTCTAACTTTGCTATATAGCTCATTCACTGCTACATGCCGCTAACTAAACAACAGTGCATCTTAATAGTACTGCCATGGTCACTGCCTGCATTATGTCGAGGAATTGAGTCCTGTAAGTGATAATTACAATCACATCCTAACCTTTCTGTTATATTTGCTGTCTGCACTGTGTGGACATACTGAATCCTGGTTAAGGAACGTTACCATGAGAGAAAGGCTGGTGCTGACAATTGTGGCCACATGTGCAAATTGTTAAGACACCTGACTCCCTAAGGCATTAGAGAGTTTTAATAAGGTTTTTGTATTTTTGGAGATATATTTACTAAGAAACATAAGCTCATGCCTGGATTGGGACATCATGACTGAAGCCATGTGCACACTAAAGGCAAAGTCTCTTTCTAGGCATACCTGTTCCACCTGGTCCAGACAAAGCTGTTTTCTTTAAAAGAAGACAACATTGTCTCTTTGTGGGGAAGATATTAGTTGGGTTGTGTTATTGTCATTTTTATCAAGTAGTTTTTGTAATAAAGCCCTTTTTAATACATATTTTTTTTTTTTGTTATATTGACCCGAGTACAAGCCACATAGGTCCTGAATGGTGTTTACTTTTTTAGGGAATCTGTGGCGGAACCATTCCGCCTGGGCTTCCTCGTGCGATGTGTCTCAGCCAATGTCCAGTGCTCTGCCAAGGCAGGTATTAGAGCTCAAAGACAATCCTTCCCCGATATACCAAACCACGAGTTGGAACTTCAAGTAGGGTGAAAGAATGAATGCTTTAATGAACACAGCTCAGTTTATACAGCACATCCCCGCAGTAATCCCTGCCCCCTTCATCCCCACCAGACAGTCAGGCAACCTGGTTTTCCCCACCCACTACACAACAGCACAGTATGAAATCTAGAGAAGTGAAAGACTACAAGTTCACATTACCCTAAACAGTGTAGAATGCCTGTGTACATAACAGCTGCTAAACATATACATCTTTAAAAAAGGTAGAACGGAAAGGCCACTTAACAAGGGGATAAAACCGGAACAGAATGTTATCACAAAGGGACGGTTCGTCACAAGGCTCCCCCGTTGCATAACACCCGCCAGACCCGGAGAGACCTTCAAACGGTTCTGCTTGGGGCTGGTCGGTTCAGAGGGTTACTTCACCAACTCGGTTTGCCGGGACAACCCATCAGCATTGCCGTTTTGCTTCCACGGTCGGTACTGGATGGTAAAGTTATGGGTTGGAGGGCCAAGCTCCACCGCAGCAGACGACCATTGTCCCCAGAGACCCGGTTTAGCCATACCAGGGGGTTATGATCGGTGAGTACGGTGAAACAGTGCCTGTACAGGTAGGGCTGCAATTTCTTGAGGGCCCATACCAAGGCAAGACACTTTTTCTCCACAGCAGTGTAGGTCACCTCCTGGGGTAACAACTTTCTACTTAGGTAGGCCACTGGATGGTCGTTCCCGTCATCCCTGATTTGGCTCAGAATAGTGTCCAATCCAAAGGTGGAGGCATCTGTGTGAACGCAACACCGTTTGGAAGGGTCAGGAGCTGCCAAAATGGGAGCATGGATCAGATCATGTTTGAGCTTTTGAAAAGCTGTTTCACACTCTGGGGACCACACAACCTGTCGGGGCAGATTCTTCCAGGTCAGATCCGTTAGGGGTTTAGCAATGGCGCTGTAGTTGGGGATGAATTTACGGTAGTACCCCGCAGTGCCTAGGAAGGCAAGGACCTGGGTCTTGGTTTGGGGAGTGGGTCAATTTGCTACCGTTTCCACCTTTGCCGATGCCGGTCGTTGCTTCCCACATCCTACCTGATGTCCTAGATATTGAACCTTGGACACCCCAACATGGCATTTGTCAGGTTGGATGGTCAGCCCTGCTTGCCCGATGCGATCAAGCACTTCCCTGAGGTGTCGGAGGTGATCCTCCCAACTATCACTGTAGATAGCTATATCGTCTAGATAGGCACAGGAGAAGTCCTGCAGCCCATCCAGCAGCGTATCTACCATTCTCTGAAAGGTAGTCAGGCCGTTCTTCACCCCAAACGGCATGACCCTGGACTGGTACAAGCCAAACGGGGTGATGAATGCCGACTTTTGTACCACGTCCGCATCCAGCAGAATCTGCCAGTACCCCTTGCAGAGATCGATGATGGTAAGGAAATTAACTCTGGCCATCCGGTCCAGCACCTCGTCTATCCAGGGCATCGGGTATGCATAAGTCACGGTCCGGTCATTGAGCCTCCAGTAGTCCACACAGAACCGGACGGTTCCGTCCTTCTTAGGTATCAGGACCACCGGGGAGGACCAGGGACTGTCAGAGGGTTCTATCACACCTAAATCCCTTAATTTCCTTAATCTCTCGTCTCATCCCTTCTCTGACGGACTCAGGCACTCGGTAGGCTGTGTGCTTCAGGGGGGCCTGACCCTGCGGCCCTGATTTACTAATGTGCCTAGGTGCATTTCCATGGGCTAACTTTACTTTTTAATAGCGACCATCTACTTTTTGACAGCAAAGACATTTACTAAAGAAAGCGTCAACAAGTAGACGCGAAATTGAATTTACTAACCAGCCACAATCCAGGAATCACACTAAAAAAGCAGACTTGCTAAGAAGCACATCTAACACAACAAAAAATCACTGCAGAAACATGTTCACATTGAAATTTGCTTTCACAAATATCTGGACTTCACTTTAAACAATATCTTACATTTCAAAAAAAAAATTTAAATGTGTAAAAAATAGTTTTTTTTAAAGGAATTCATGACAGTCAAGAACTAGATGTTTTTCCAGCGTCTATGCACGGATATAAATGTGCATGTGCAGAACACATTTTAGCCGTCTGAGGGTGCTTTCTTTTTAGACGCTGTTTAATAGTAATTCTCAGTGTGGAGTCCACAGCCCGCCAGATCAGGAAAGGGGGGGGGGGGGGGAACGAGCGAGCGCCCCCCCCCCCTCCTGAACCATACCAGGCCACATGCCCTCAACATGGGGGGGTGCTTTGGGGCAGGGGGCCCCCCCCCAAACGATTTGTAGCTAGGCATATCTTTATGTATTCTAATTTGATTTCCTTAGTTCTATTGATTCTGTTTTTTTTGTTTCTTATCCTTTATAATTATTTCTGTAATGGTTTTACATATTTTGAAGGTCTAGATAATATATATTTTGACAGATGAATCTAAAAATAAAGATCGGCAATTAAAATAAAAAAAAACAAAAACGGCGCGGGGTCCCCCCTCCCATCCATACCAAGCTCTTCGGGTCTGGTATGGATCTTAAGGGGTAACCCCATGCCAAAATAAAAATAAAAAATGGCGTGGGGTCCCCCCCAATATCCATACTAGATACTTATCCGAGCATGCAGCCCGGCAGGTCAGGAAAGGAGGGGGGGGGACGAGCGAGCACCCCCCTCCTGAACCATACCAGGCTGCATGCCATCAACATGGGGTGGTGCTTTGGGGCAGGGGGGCTCCCCCCCCCAAAGCACCCTGTTCCCATGTTGATGGGGACAAGGGCCTCTTCCCCACAACCCCGGCCAGTGGTTGTGGGGGTCTGAGGGCGGGGGGCTTATCAGAATCTGGATGCCCCCTTTAACAAGATCCCACCCCCCTCTACGTGAATGAGTATGGGGTACATGGTACCACTACTAATTCACAAAAAAAACAAAAAGTGTAGTGTAAAAAAACACAGGACACGGTCTTTGACAAGTACTTTAATAAAAGAAAAATCTAAAATAATGTCCTCCGAAGTAGATCCAACGTCAATCACGAAGCCCGCTGCCGCCGACCCGGAAAAAGAAAAAGAAAAAAAAAGGTTCCGTTCCCGACGATGGCTGCCCAGCCTTCTGCTGTGAGCTTGGGTGACAGTTCTTAATTATGTAAGGGGAGGGGCCACCCAGGGACATCATCCGAGTGACCCCGCCCCATGTGACATCAATGATGTCACATGGGGTGGGGTCACATGCGTGATGTCGCTGGGTGGCCCCGCCTCTTACATATTTAAGAACTGTCAACCAACCTCACAGCAGGCGACTAGGCAGCCATCGTCAGGAACGGAACCTTTTTTTTTTTCCCTTTTGTTTAGGTCGCCGGCGCCTTACACCATGATTGACATTGGGTCTACTTCGGTGGACATTATTTTAGATTTCTCTTTTATTAAAGGACTTGTCAAAGACCATGTCCTGTGTTTTTTTACACTACAATTTTTGTTTTTTTTGGGAACTAGTAGCGGTACCATGTACCCCATACTCATTTACGTAGGGGGAGCAGGCTCTGGGGGCCCCCTTGTTAAAGGGGGCTTCCAGATTCTGATAAGCCCCCCGCCCGCAGACCCCCACAGCCACCGGCCAGGGTTGTGAAAGAGGCCCTTGTCCCCATCAACATGGGGACAAGGTGCTTTGGAGGGGAGCCTCTCTGCCCCAAAGCCCCACCCCATGTTGAGGGCATGTGGCCTGGTATGTGTCAGGAATGGAATCGCCAATAGTGGTGCAACTCACCTGCCTTGTGGGTTGCAGTACCAGGACTGGCCAGCGGGTGCTCTCAGCAACCGGAAGCTCACTCCTGTAGTCAGCCAACACCTGGGCTGATTGCAGGAGGTGTATTTAAGGAATGACCAGGCCTGTGATCAGGGCCTTGGTGTATGTTTCCCATGAGCCCCTGTACCTGGTATCCTGTGTTCCTGCTTCGTTGCTGACCCTGCTTGATCCTGACCGTCTCCTATTGAACCCCTGGCTTGCCTGACCATCCTTCTGCCTAATCCTCGGTACCGCGCTGCCCGCTACCTGCTCAACCTGGCTTGTGACCCCGACCATTCTCTGCTTGCTCCTCCTGTACCATGCTGCCCGCACGATACCGACCCGGCCTGTCTGACTACGCTTACCTCACCCGACCATCCATCCCGCACGGATCACCTCTAGTAAGTCTGCCTACCTCTTCCCATCAGATTCCGTTCCTGCACTCCCCTGCCAGTACTCTCTACCACAGCCGGATGCACTCAGGGGTCGCGACCTGGTTCCAGTCTGCACCAAGTCCATCCCCACCATCAGGGGCCCTGGTGAATAGCAGGCTGGGACTTAGACCCCGCGCCCTGAGGAAATCTGTGCTGTGGGCTTGGCCTGCCTGACCGCTCCACCTCTCCAGCCCTGACTGCACTGGTACCTATTAGTCTAAGGTTTATTGCACCTGGTTGTACATATTTATGTAAGTGTTGAGTTTGATTGTTTGCACTGCGTTTATGTTTGTGTTGTCTTTAATAAATTATATTGTGTTACGCTATACCTGAAGTCTGTGTTTCCCTGTGTCAGTCCACACACCTCTGGTCATACCTGGAGCCCTGATAGTATGGTTCAGGTATGGTATGGTATGGTTCAGGAGGGGGGGGGGCGCTCGCTCGCCCCTTTCCTGACCTGCCGGGCTGCATGCCCGGATAAGGGTCTGGTATGGATTTTGGGGGGAACCCCATGCCGTTTTTTAAAAAGATTTTGGCGTGGAGTTACCCCTTAAGATCCATACCAGATCCGAAGGGCTTGGGATGGATAGGAGGGGGGACCCCATAAGGAGGGGTCCCCCCTCCCATCCAGACCAAGCCCTTCGGGTCTGGTATGGATTTAGAAGGGAACTTCCACGCCAAAATAAAAAAAAAATAGTGTGGGGTCCCCCCAAAAATCCATACCAGACCCTTATCCGAGCATGCAGCCCGGCAGATCAGGAAAGGGGGGGGGACAAGCGAGCGCCCCCCCCCCTCCTGAACCATACCAGGCCACATGCCCTCAACATGGGTGGGTGCTTTGGGGCAGGGGCCCCCCCCCCAAAGCACCTTGTCCCCATGTTGTGCGGGTCTGCGGGCGGGGGGTTTATCAGAATCTGGAAGCCCTCTTTAACAAGGGGGCCCCAGGATCTGCCCCCCATCACGCCAATGAGTATGGGGTACATGGTACCGCTACTAATTCACAAAAAGTGTAGTGTAAAAAGAAAAACACAGGACACGGTCTTTAACAAGTTCTTTAACCGGTTGCTGACCAGCCACAGTACATATACTGCGGCAGGGCGGCACCGCTGCGCAAAATCCCGTTTATAAACGTAATTTTGCATATCAGGTAGGGGGCATTGTTTTCAATGTAGCTCTGCTCCCTGTCAGTTCCCAACACATTGTCATGGAGAGAAGAGATTAGCTTTCCAAAACAGCGTGTAACAGTGAAGTACCCACCCCCGCCCAATAGTAAAACACTCCCCTCACACAGTTAACCCTTTGATTGCCTTAAAGTTAACCCCTTCCTCCCCAGTGCCATTAGTACAGTGTCAGTGGTTTTTTTTTTGCACTGATCACTGTATTGGTGTCACTGGGGATGTCAGTGACCCCAAGTCAAGAACATAAAAATACAAAAAATAGTGCAGCGCTAACAACCTATACTAAAATACAAATGAGATAAATGGAAATATAACATATAGAATGCACAATAAATATTCAGTGTTAGGTGCTCATAAAATGAATACTATGTGCAGCAGTCCATAAATGCCAATGATGGTGAAAAATCACAGCAAAACTCCGTGAGGTGATCACAGTGCCACTCAGTGTGCGGTAAATCCACGGATGGCCAAGATGGCCCCTCACCTCCTTGATGCGACCCACTGGGCCAAACAGCTATGTAGGTGACCTTATACAC